TTAACTTCAAGCACATAAAAGAAACAGCAAACTGTTATTCCTGGAAGCATTTTCCTCAGTCTGTTGAGATCTTGCTTCCAGGTGTATCCTTTTTTTAGTTCAAATAAATTTTTATAGTTTTTTTTTAATGTTCTTATGTCTACACTCATTTTCTCTTCTGTCTCAGAACCTCTCATGTACCTAGGGTCTCTGACTGTCTCCTGTATGTGGGGTTCCCATCTGTATGTATGTACTTACATTTGGTTATTTTCTCTTGTTAATTTGTCTCATGTAGATTTAAGTATTAGTCTGACTGAAAGGACCTAGGATGGCAGAGGAAAGTTTTTGCCTCCCTCACAGTCGGTGCTGTGAGCAGGCTATTCACCGGCTGGCGCTGCTCACCCCACAGCTGCTCCAGGGGAAAAGTCCTGGGACCATTAACCTGAGCAGGCAAAGATCGGAATTCTTGCCAGGTGAGACTCCCTGGTCTGTACCTGTGGAGCTCGGTGGAGGCAGAGGGATGAGAGTCCTTTCTTTTCCCTTTAAAATTTAGGTTATATGGTTAACAAGGGGTTCTGTAATAAAGCTGACTGGAAGTGCAGTGATGGGAAGTCACCTCACAGGGTGATCTGATCATAAATTCCTAACTGGGCAGCTCATAGTGGGTAGTCATGCCCCAGGCACGTAACTTTTTTTTTAGTGAAATGTTTACCTCTGCCTTAAGCAAGCCCTGTCTATTGTTCTTGTGCATCTGGGTTAGCACACCTTGGAAATGCCAGCGTAATCCTCTTTTTGAAGCTTCAAGAGAGCAATTAAAATATGTTTTCTACTTGTCCTGACTAATTTTATAGCTGGCGGGTTTGCTAATTGTGCGTACAAAAGATTAATTTAGGAATATCAAAGAATTCTCCTCGTGGCCATCTTATATTAATAGGAGGCTGACTGTCCTGGGGTTTGTCGGCCTCAGAGGCACAATTCCCTGTGCTAATTTTAGTTTTTCCTTTGGGATCTGTAGAGCCTGAACAAACTTCTAGAGAAAACCAGCCTTTACACGCACGTCTCTGGAAGAGCCAAATGTGGTGGAAATCCCTAGGGGATTGCTTCATGCCCTAGAGCAGTGGTCGGCAAACTGCGGCTTGAGAGCCACTTGCGGCTCTTTGGCCCCTTGAGCCTGGCTCTTCCTAAGCCTTAGGAGTACCCTAATTAAGTTAATAACAATATACCTACCTATATAATTTAAGTTTAAAAAATTTGGCTTTCAAAAGAAATTTCAATCGTTGTACTGTTGGTATTTGGATCTGTTGACTAATGAGTTTGCCGACCACTGACCTAGAGCAGTGGTTCTCAACCTTCCTAATGCCGCGACCCTTTAATACAGTTCCTCATGTTGTGGTGACTCCCAATTTCATTGTTACAAATTAAAAATAATTAAAGCATAGTGATTAATCACAAAAACAATATGTAATTAAATATGTGTTTTCTGATGGTCTTAGGCGACCCCTGTGAAAGGGTTGTTCGACCCCCAAAGGGGTCGTGACCCACAAGTTGAGAACCACTGCCCTAGAGGAAATTTTTCCTTAGGGAACTCCTCCAAGACTCCTAGTCATCTAAAAAGACCCCAGCAAGGGCCAGCGAGAGCTTATGCTTGGATGCCACCAGAACCACGATGCTTTCCAAGGCATGGGGCCCTGTTTGGGGGTGCCCTGCAATTCACAAAGAACTCTTTCCGAGGAGGCCGCTGGCTTCCAGAATTGTTTGTGTTACCTCACTGGACGCCCCACAGCGCCCACCTTTGCTACTCTGGATTCTGGACTCCACAACAACTATTGTCACCCCATTGGCTATTTGGACTGGGAAAGCTGAAGGGGCGAGTCGTCGCAACCGCCGGGCCCCATGAGTCACAGCCTGACCATGCTGGCGGCCTCATCAGGCACCGACTCCCCAGCCCACGGCGGGAGCCTGGCACAGGCCGCCACCCGCCCGCCGCCCCCGGACCGGACCCACGTGGCAGCAGCGGCGGCGTGACAGGGCGTCTGCCCTCGCCCCTGCTGGCCACACCCTGGATTTCTTTGAACTAACCAATGACAATCAAGGGACGTGCGCGCCATAGAGATGACCACATCCTGTGTAACAAGACCCGACTCGCACCTGGCCAATCGGCGGGGCCCGCAGTCCCCTCCCCTGCCCTCACTATAAAACCCCCGGTCCCATCAGGCCTCGCTCTCTCTCGGCCACTGGGGCTTACCGTTGCATCGGTGAGTGTGGCAGGGGAGCCAAACCTAGGTTTGAAATGAAGGACTCTTTGCTTTTGCATTGGACTCGCTGACTCCCTGGTGGGCTCTTGGGAATCTTGAAATCTGGGCACAACAAAAGCAAGTGCCCTTCCTTTTGGGGAGCTAGAGTTTTCTTTCTCATTTAACCAGCAAAGATTTTGTTTAGACCCTCAGTAAGCAATCCAATTAAAAAACTGAAATTAAAATCAGCCACCCATTTTTCTTGTCCTTTCCCTTTCTCAACCCTTACGCACCGTAAGGGATTTTCTACCCAATGTGAGGCAGGGAGCCAGTGGGGGCACAATGGGCCCATGCTGGTGCCTGACACTGGGTACCAAGGTGGTCCTGGGTGGGCTGACTCTGCCAAGTAAATGCTGATTTTGTTTTTCTCTGTTTGTCTGGTATCTCTCCTTTTGTCTTGTTATGTCCTAAGAAACATCCGAGACTGTAAGAAACTTTTATAATATTTTGTTTGAGCCAAACTGACAACAATGCAGGGAAGCAAAATCTCAAATGCTCCCAAGAATGACAGTTTGTAGTTCTTTTGCACATTTGGAATTAAGGAGGGGATGTAAGGAAGCTTAAATGAAGGTGGAAGAAAGCCAGGTGAGAACTGGATTATAGGATAGTTAACTCGATTATGTGTTCTCTTGAGGATGGTCTGATTATTCTGGCATTTCAAAGCTGTTTTTACCAAGATACACAAGAACAATGAGTGGGGCTTGTTTAAACAAAGATAAAACTTTTACTAAAAAAGTTATAGGCCGGGGTAGGACTACCCACCATAACCTGGATAGTTAGGAATTTATGATCAGATCCCTTACAAAGTTACTTCTATTGGACTTGTCAGTTCTATTACAGAATCACTTTTTTGTGTGTGTCCACAATTAGCAGGAGAAAATATTTGTAAAAATTAGTTTCTTGGTCTTAATGATTCTTGGTTTATTTGGTATGAGTTTTGTTAATTTTGTTTTGTTAATTTTGCTTTTCTCTTGTCTCTGTCTAGTATCTATGCTGTTGTCTTGTTATGGCCTGAGAGCACGGTCTTTATGCTCAAAACCATTGATAAAGTCCTAATGGGACTGTAGTTAAGGATTTAAGAGCTGATGGAATTAAGATAAACATTTACAGGTGAATTGGTATACTCTGGGTAGGCTTTCTAGGCAGTGATTGCATCTCTTTTCCCTGATTGCAATGTGGAGTAGACATTGTGTCTCCCTGGGGAACATTCCCTTGACTAATACTGTACACAGAAAACATAAATGCACTCTTTAAGCAATATTAATTAGATATGCTAAAGAAAAAGCTTAAATAGTTTCATCCAAAGATAAAAAGTATCTAAAACAGAAGACTGTAAAACTGATTTACAGGTGATTGTCCTAGGATATCTTTCACTCCTTGGTCCAAGGCCAACTTCTGGGCAATAATTAAAGTATTTCTTCAACCCAGGGAAAACTCTGCCTCCTCCCCAAAGTGAAAATAAAACTATATGCCCAGAGGAAAGGAAGCAAACGAGGGATTGTGTAGTTAGACAGGTAGGTCAACTTATAATGTCAGTAAATTACAATCCGATTTTGAGAGCAATTTTACAAATTTTTGCAAAACCAGAAATGTGGCTCTAGGAGCAGTTCAAACCCTCCCACCTCCATCTTTATCATTCCCAATTCCTAAGACTAAAGAAAAAAAAGGGGACGAGGGTTATTTTGAAAGCACAAACTGCTCCTCTGGCTCCAAGTCCCCCTTGCCAAGAACACATACAAATCCTAATTGTCTTCTCCACAAATATTAATATGAAAAAGCCTTAGCCATCTGAGTGGATAAACAACTTATTGCTCATCTCACGGCAGCAATTTTTATTTTTAAAAATATGTTTTTTTAAGTTGATTTCAAAAAGAGAGAGGGAGAAGGAGAGAGAGAGAAACATCAACATCGATTGGTTGCCTCCTGGACACACCCCAACTCGGACCTGGGAATCCAAACAACCCACCTCCGGTCTCCCCTTACAAGACAGCTGTCTGCTGTGTTTACGCTCACTGTGATGCCCAGCCTTCCTTCTCTGTTCAAGCCACCTTGCAGGAAGCACTCACAGAGCGCAGTATCTGGAGGGGCAAGCCAGTGGAAGCAAACAGGCTCTGCACGCCCGGGAGGCTGTCCAGGTGGGTGTCCAGGTGCAACCTCACCGCTCTGCAACCTCAGGCCACTCCAGCCTGTGGGGGAATCCAGAAGGCAGATGCTTTGACCTTGGGGGAAACCTACGCCCAATGAAGGCCTCAGGTACATAGGAAATGGGACAGCTCAGAAAAGGGGGAGAAAGAGTCAAACACACAGGGGCTCCCTCACAATTTGTAATACAACTTCTTTGTCTAGGACTAGGTCATAAACCCATTTATGGGCATATGAACTGCCAAACAGGACAACCATGTCATGCACCAATTGTTTATGTTATTTCACCCTTAATTGTAAGGAAATATGGTACTACCGATCTTAATTTTGAACTATTTGGTTAGAGGTTTGAGAGGAGAGTTCTATTTCCCCCCACGCCGGGACAACAGGATGAATTCAGAGGGGAAAAAGGGCAAAATACTTCTACAGGGGACTTGCAATATCAACACTCTGCCACCAGAGGGCAGTGTAGACCAGTGTAGAACCCGGAGAGGGGCCTGGCTACAGAGAGAAGCAAACGTTAAAATGCAAATTTAAAATGAAGTTTCACTTGCTAAAATTAGAATAAAAAATAACCCGGTGAACACTGGCGAACACTGATCCTTACCGAAGGTTGTTCGATCCGGTTCCCATAGGACCCCCTGCCATTAGCTTCCTGATTGGGGTGGCCTGTGAGGAAGGGGTTAGTGGGGAGGGACCAGGGAGGCGCTTGAAGGGTCTTGAGGCAGGGGCTCTTTACTATCTGGGTCAAAAGCATGTTCATACTTTAACAATAGTATGGCTTTTAGTAGAGAGAGCGTTCTACTTGAGGTCAACCCACGAGGTGGAGGGTGCTTTTGGGAAAGTGGCTGGGCTCTCAGCCAGCTGCCGGGGCCAGCAGCTGAATTCCCGTAAGAGCTCTTGTGCAAGAAAGAGGAGGCCGCCCGGTTTTTTGTTTTTTGTCCGGCGTTGTCTGGCAAACCCCCTCTGCCTGACCTTTGTGTTACCCAACTGCTGCCTGGGCTTCAGGCAGTGGCCCTGCCCAGGTCCGGGAAGGGCCTGGGACAGATAAGGTTTACGTCCTTTGGGGAAGAGTGAGGAGCTAGAGGACAGGACGTCCTGCTCAGTTTGAATCTCTCCCCTTCTGTTTTTTGTTAAACTATTCAGTTTAAGAGCCAAACCAGGATGTGGCTGAATTTAGGGAGGGGAGGAGCAGAGGCCCGGAAGCCTCGCTTCAAGCTGACACCCAGTGCCTTTTGCCGCTGGGTCTTTGCACACAGTCGGAACCTGCAGAGTAAGAAGTTCAGATGTGGCTCTGAAAAGTTTCTGATATTCTTCATGACACGCGTTATCTACAAGACCACATTCACCACTAAGCTGAGAATCCCCCCCACCCATTTTTACTGTGTGTACTTATCTTTTGGATATGTATTTAGAAGGGAAATTGCTAGGTCATATGGTAGTTCTGTTTAATTTTTTGAGGAGCTACCAAGCTGTTTTCCACAGTGGTTGTAGCACTTTACATACCCACCAACAATGTCTGAGGATTCCAATTTCTCCACATCATCACCGATACTTGTTACTTTTCTTTTTAAAAAGATGTTTTTATTGATTTAAAGAGAGAGGAAAGGAGAGGGAAGGAGAGAAACATCAATTTGCTGTTTTCTGCATACCCCCTCACTGGGGATCCAGCCCAGAAACCCCAGCATGCGCCCTGACATCTCAGTGCATGGGAACGGCACTCAACAAATTGAGCCACACCAGCCAGGGCGATACTTGTTCCTTTTTGTGTGTGGGTTTGTTTAAAAAACTAAAACGTTTTTTATTATAGCCAACCTATAAGAATGAAGTGATATTTCATTGTGGTTTTGATTTACATTTCCATCATGAGTAATGATGTTGAGCATCTTTTCATGTGCTTACTGGCTATTTGCATATCTTCTTTGGAAAAATGTTCCTTCAAATCCTTTGCCCATTTTTGAATAGAGTTGTTTGCTGTTACTGAGTTTTGGGAGTTGTTTGTAGACTCTGAATATTAATCCCCTATCAGATATGTGATTGCAAGTATTTTCTCCCATGATGTAAGTTGTCTTTTCACTTTCTTGAAAATGTCTTTTGCTGTACAAAATTTTTAATTTTGATGACGTTCAGGTTATCTAATTTTTCTTTTGCTGGCTGTGCTTTTGGTGTCACATCCATGAAATCATTGCCAACTCTAGTGCCATGAAGATTTTCCCCAATGTTTTCTTCTAACGGTTTTATAGCTTTGCATCTTCATGTTAGGTCTGTGATCAATTTTGAGTTAATTTTTGTGTATGGGGTAAGGTATGGGCCTAAGTTTATTCTTTTGCATGTGGATATTCAGTTTTTTTCAGCATCATGTGTTGAAAAGATTATCCTTTTTTCATGGAATGATCTTGGCACCCTGGTTGAAAATCAATTGACTATATACATGAAGGTTTATTGGTGGTTTTTCTATTCTATTTCATTGATCTATATTTCTGTCCTTTTGCCAGTATATACTGTTTTAAATACTGTAGTTTTGTACCACATTTCAAAGTTGGGAAGTGTGAGTCTTCCAACTTTCTTCTTTTTAAAGACTGTTTTGGCTATTCAGGGTCCCTTGCAATTCCATAGGAATTTGAGGATCAGCTTTTCCGTATTTGTGAAAAAGGCTGTTGGAATTTTGATAGGGATTGTGATGATTCTGTAGAGTGCTTTGAGTAGCAGTGACTTCTTAACATTGTATGTCTTCCAATCCATGAACATGGGATACCTTTCTGTTCACTTAGGCCTTCTTTAATTTCTTTCAAGGATGTTTTGTAGTTTTCAGCATGCAAATCTTTCATGTCTTGGGCAGATTTACTCCCAAGTATTTACTTCTTTTAGATGCTATTGTAGATGGAATTGCTTTCTTTTTGTTATTTTTTTTTTAATTGTTGAAGAATATCTCTGTGCTGGGGATCAGCTGGAGGAGAAAGCTTAAGTTCTTTTCCTATTTTTTTTTTGAGCCTGCATCTGTGTATGGGCATGTGCAATTGTTTTCTAAATTGCCTTGTGTATGTGGTTGATTTTGAATGTCTAATCTTACATGTCTGGCTTCCAAAAGGGGAGAAAGGGAAAAAATAAAAATATAATAAAACAAAGAAATCCAGGTGCAGCTCCTTTAAGTCCCCAGAAAACCACCTCAGCCAGTGGGATTGCAGTAGTGGCTGCCTATCTCTGTGCCTGCACCTCAGAGACGGAAAGCAGTGAGCAGCAATCAGAAAACAGAGCCCTGATGTTTGGGGGACTGGTTCCTTATTGTCCACTCTGGCTCTAGCAAGCCATATCAGGAATTCGAACACAGCTGTCTGCCACTAGGCTAGGGGTGAGGGGTAGGTACCCAGTACAGCACTAAAGGCTGAAATTAGCCAAAATCAATCACACTTTACCAGTCACGCTTTCTCCTGCAAGTTAAAAGCATTTCAACAGAGTTCCAAAATTGTGACTTCAGACACTTTCTGCTAGTACAGTTGTTGCCTAAATGGAGAGACAGATTCCTGGTGTTTCCCATTTGGCCATTTCCCATGATGTTCCCTCCCATTATTAAGCCTTGATATCTAACACCCCTTGATTTCCATTTGTCGTTTGAGCTTCGTGCTCTGGCACACCAGTGGTGAATCAGTGTTGGACCTGTCTAGGGAAGTTTCATTTATAACGGGCACCTCCCTGAGCAAAGACTATAGCTACATATCTCAGTTGGTTTTTGTGGGGACTCAAGGGGGCCCCACAATAACACCTTACATGTGCTTGATTTTAGAGCCACTTAAGAGAGAGATAAGAAGTCAGGTAGTTGGAGATCATAATATCTGTCTTATTATTAATCAAAACGACAATGGAGGAAACCCATCCCGGCCAGGCAAGGCCAGCTCTCACAATGACTGTACCTGAAGCATCAGTCTAGAAGCCTACTCTGTACCCCCAGGCTGGCTTCTCTTAGCTTGTGTTCCTTCTTCAGAAACATCTAAGAACTTACCTCTCATGGGTAGGAGGACGGTGCAAGGGATAAACCAGGAGTGTCACACTGATTGATGTCTTCTCCCCCCTTCTGCTCCCGGGCAGAAAACATCAGGAGCTGGGAATGAATGTTCCCACCCGAAGTTCTCAGGCACCTGTTCTTTGCTTCCAATTCTCATTCACAGGAGAAAATCTACGAGCAGTGCTGCTGCCACTGACTCCTGTATTTGAATTCAGGCCCAGGAAGTCTTTTCCTCTAAATGATAAACTGCTTTCTCAGCTCACCCCTCAATACAGAATCCTGAACTGAAGCCATTTTTGGTGAAGCTTACAGAGACGACTACCTCAGTGGTGCTATCCCCAGTTGTGAATCTTTCTCTGCTTCGGAGGGTTTGAGACTCTGAATAATCTACTCTGTTTCTGTGAGGTCAGAAGCATCACATGTCAGTCTTGTTATTACATACTTCCTTCAAGTTGATCCAGCAGAATTTTTCAGAGTTAGTTCTGCCTTTGTCTTCGACATGTGGGTCTGATGGGATCAGAGCATCTTTTTCTTTCCCCCTCTTCATGTCTTGATGACTAGACCAACACCGATCTCTTTTTATTTCTTCTAAAGTCTTTTTTCTTCACAAATGGAATTCTGAAGATTAAAAAAAATTGAAATATAATTGACATACAACATTATATTCATTTCAGGTCTACAACATAATACTTTGACATTTGTATACACTGTGAAATGATGACCACATAAGTCTTGAATCTTAACATTTAATTTTCTCATTCTATTTTTTCCCTTAGGATGTTTTCAACAGTTCATCACAAAGAGACAACTTCCCATGAAATTCTTTTGACCCACTTCAAGAAAAATAAGGTGGAGATAGCGAATGCAGTAACAAAGCCATTTCCTTTCTTTGAGAGCCTCAGAGACCACTCCCTCATCACTGAAGAGCTCTATAATGTAAGATAAGTGAATTATATCTCTCCATGGTACCCTAGCCTCACATTAATTTGTGTTTGGCATCCTAGATTAACAATCTAGCCCTTTATAGTTTTCATGGGAAGACTCTACTAAATTAGTAAATCATCCTGTAAGGTTGAGGGTGACAGGGCAAGAAGATATCATTAACAATACTTCTATTCTAATTGAAGCCTTTCTCTCCTTTTAAAAAAATGTATCTTTATTGTTGAAAGTGTTACAGATGTCCCCCTTTTTCCCCATTGACCTCCTCCATCCACCCAGGCCTTTACCACACTATTATCTGTGCCCATGAAGCCCTTCTTATCTGTGGGGCATGTTAGTGTATGTGTGTGGGGTGGAGGGTAATGCTGAAATGGTTGGATTGAAACTGATATGCTTTGCAGATGCATAGCAATTTACACAGTATAGCAAAATGAAATAAAATTAAAATAATTGAAAGAATTGGGACAGTATTTCATTATCATATCCACTTATTTCAAATGAAATCCACAGGGAATTTGTGCCATTATAAATCAAATTTTGGTCTTGTGGCTGTCTCCTCCAAAGTGTTTAAACTTTATTAGGTAGTTTGGGAATCTTGCAATTCAATCAAATTTGATTAGTGGATCCTCTTGGAGACAGAGAAGGAATTTAACTCGTCACCATGTGATTGTGCGTTGTGCATCTCCCTGCATCCTAAAGTCTTATCAGGACTTCTCATACCCGCAGTTGCTGTGCAAAGATCCATTATTGAAACAGCCTAGGCAGGATGAAATTTCGAAAGTCAGGAGGAAGGCTCCATTTGTGATCTTAAGCAATTGATCAAATATACTAGAAGTTCTAAAATATGACATGGAAATTATAATCTACACTGAAAAAGTAGACTGAGTTCCTATGCAATTACTTCCTTGATGGTTGTTTAACTTTAAAACTATCACTTTATATATTTTTTTCCATTGCACTTTTTTAAAGGATTCTCAAGAAGCTTGTAAAGACTTGGTTCCTGTAGGAAGAGTGGTGTATCATATTCTCTGCCACCTTGAGAAGATGTTTGATTGGTCACTTCTACAAACTCTGTTCAGCAAGGTTCATCTGAAGGAGTATCCTGATTTAATTCAGTTTCATAGAAGCTTCAAAAATGGTAATCAATTTTCTTCCCTCCCTTTTGGGGTCCAGGTCTACTTTTCATTCATTCATTAACTCAGTCACTCATTTAACAAGTATTTATGAAATGTTTACCACATCTCAGGCCCTATGTTAGGCAGTATGAATGGAAGTAACTGTTAACAAAACTGCCAGGTAAAATAACCTGCCAAGTGACTACTGTACTAGGGCTTAATTTGGGCTTAATAATGTCCTTTTTTCTTCTTTGGGAATAACTAGCTCTCTTAATGAGAAAATTCCTCTGTTCTTCTCTAAGGTTTGTACAGTTCACAGAGACATTCCAGTTATAGAATTTATATTGAGAATGCTTTTACTCCTCTCTGATTATCTTGTTGGGTGATTAATTACTTTAGTAACTTTTCCAGTTTCACCACCATCCTTAAAACCCAAGACTCATCGCCGTAGAATTTCAGTGTTGTTTCTCCCCACCCCGTTCATTGCCCCAGGGAAAGGGATAAGCAACACCAAGTCAGGAGCCATTGAGATTCACTGACCCAAGGGCCAGAAGTCCCCCCATTGAAAGACATGGATTCATGGGTCACCCAGACAAGTAATTATGAATTGATGTCCCTAATTACCTACCTGCAACCTGTAATTAATTCTTTCCTTTGTTCAGTGATCCAAGACAAACATTTTTCCTGGGAAAGTGATAGAGAAGAGACACACGAAATGTCCAGCACTCAGCCAAGCTGTGAACGAGATAATTATGAGAAGACACAAGCTTTGCTGTCTTATGACTAAGAGGAAAAAAATAGATAAAGGAACCGAAAGGAGACGGTGGTGCTGGGGAAGGGATGCCAGGAGAACATGGGGTGGTAGATGACTGTTACTTTGAGTTGATTCCAAAATGACCTGATTCTGTGTGGAATCCAAGGGTATTAGCAAGAGGTGGCAGAGAGAGACTCTTTGCCCAGTAACCTGGAGGGTGGATTTTGATCCCAAGTGTAAATTATGAGTTTCCATAGGAAACTGTCACTGTGAAGCTGTGAAGGGCTAAGAACTATGGGCACATAGTCAACATCAACCTTGAGGATGGAAGAAGGGACAAATTTAAATGTGGGGGATGTTATTTAAGACCAGAAATATGCAAGAAGAAAGGACGTCATATAGAAAAAAGAGGAAGTGGTAGGGGTGTGGGGAAGGAGATATGGGCACTGAAAGAGATAGAGAGAGAGAGAGAGAGAGAGAGAGAGAGAGAGAGAGAGAGAGAGAGAAAGAGGGGAAATGAAAGCAAGAAGAGATAAAAATAACATTATTAAGAGCTCATTTGATTGAACATCTATCTGGTAGTTGTGGGTTTAGTGCTCACACTTGCATTTAAAGGTTAGTATCACTTACATGTCTATCATGCACATAAGACAACTGAAATCTCAAGAGACCATGTACGTAATTGGCCTGGGTTCAAATAAGCAAGGATGAACCCAGGCATTCTGAAGCCAGAGCCTCTGTTCTTTTTTTCCTTTTTAAATGGAGGTAAAAGTCACATAACATAAAATCAACCATTTAAAAGTGTGCAACATTGTGCAAGCATAACCTCTATCTAGTTCCAAAATAATTTGAGCCTCTCAAAAGGAAACCCCATATCCTTTAAGCTGTCACTTCCCATCGCCCTCTTCCCACTGCCAGAAGACATTGATAAAACTAAAAAGTGCATCTTTTGTTTCTGTGGGTTAAGCGGGGAAATCACAGAGACAGAGAGAACAGGAAGGGAACCCGGCATATAGGTGGGGAGGTGTAGGGGAAGAGAGCTGGGAAGGAAAATAGAGATACCAAGGACTGAGCTGGAGAGCATCGCCAGAAAGAAGAAGACAAAAACAGGGGACAGGAGAAGCCAGGGAGCCAGAGGCCAGTGGCAGCCCGGATGCAGAAATACCTTCCTAGGTAGAAGCAGCAATGCCTGGAGATTGGACCCTGGTAGAAAATTGAAAAAGGGAGAGAAAGAGGTAGAAGGGGGTTTGGTTGGATTTGAGGTGGGATTCTTGGAGCGGCAGTATTTCTTTACAAGGAGCAGCTGACTTTAGTTTCAATCTCAGAGCTCAGGGTGGTCACACCTTAGCCTTTTTCCTGGTCACTGGCTCTGGTCTCTCCTTTCCTTTGATCTCTCTTAAGTGCCTGGTAAATCCAAAGCTCCTGGAATAAAAAAGGAGAGAGAGTCAAAAGAGTTGTTCAGCTTACTGCTGAATGGTGGACAAGGTAACTGTGATTGATTCCTACATTTTAAATAACTAGTTACCTGGTTAAGTCATGTGGCGGGAGGAAGGGACACACACACACACACACACACACACACACACACACACGTGCGCGCACCCAGTCTCTGGCTACTTTCTAAAGTGTGAGGGAAGCAAGCAGGCTGAGACATGTGAGAGGCTTAGGGCAAAATTTTTTTTAAGTTAAGGAGATTATTTTACTCAGACTATTGCAATAAGGAGAACATTCATTAATGAGGACCATCTCAAAGAAAAAGAAGGAAGCCTGGGGTTTTATAGAGGAAGTAAACAAGAGAGTGATCTTAGAGTCTTATGGGTGTTATGAGTCAGAATGGAGATGAAACTCTGAGGAGAGTGTTAGCCGGTTTGTCATTTCTGAAACACCAAAGCGGGGGGGGGGGATTTCTTAACTATTACTGTAACAATCAGACTCCCTTTTTCTTCAACATGAATATTGTTTGTCACTGAGCAACTCAGAGGTAAGCATAAGCCTTCCAAATGGGATGAAGCAGGGCCTAAGAAATATTCTTTCCAGGATTCTTGCTGCTGTTGTTCCTATAAAACTAGTTGAGAGGTGGTGGTGAATGACATTTGTTTTAGGGTCCAAGAGATTAGACATTTTAGAAGAGGGATGCCTGAAATAGAGAAATAATAGTACAAATGTTGTATTAAAGTCAAGAGCCAGGAGTTGAACCTTGACAATTAACCAGTCCAGTCCTGGCTAGTATGGCTCAGTTGATTGGAGTGTCGTCCTGTACACCAAAATGGGTGGTTTGATTCCTGGTCAGGGCACATAGCTAGGTTGCAGGTTTGACCCCCTAACTGTTGGGGTGCTGAGGGGAGGCAACTGATCAATATTTCTTTCTTACGTTGATGTTTCTCTCTTTGCCTGCACTGTGTCTCTCCCCCTCCCTTCCACTCTCTGAAAATCAATAAAAACATATCCTTGGGTGAGGATTAAAATAAAAAAAAGAGAATTACCTAGCCAGTGGACACAGATATCAGCTGTAGAAAATTGTATAGCACCACTTCTTGAGTTCTTTGTTTTATGTTTATTTGTTTGTTTGTTGTGGTACCAAGCCTTCAAAACTCAGTGTCATTTATGTTTACAGAACCTCCTCAAATTCCTTGAAGTTAAGATCTCTATGCTCTTGGTGATTTGTGCATAGTCTTAGTTACCTCCCATCCAAGGGTATGGGTAACCCATTTTTTTGGACTTCCTTAGTGTCCATCAGCACTTGTCCAGGGAGAATTGCAACTTCATGCATGGTCTGCTGCAGTGCTGGTTCCTTCAAGGTCAATGCCAAATCACCAGGCTTCAGTTCACAGTGCTTCTTTGGACTGTGAGGGAAAGACCACCTGCAGAACAACTTGGAGTCTGGTAGGGATCTGAGCAGTCAAGTCTTTAGTTCTTGGCAAGTAGAAGAAAAATGTGAAACATTAGATTGAAGGATTGTAGTTGGATATTGAAGAAAACTGTAAGGCTGGAAACTTTGTAAGCCAGGTACAAGGCCCCTTCTCCCAATAAGGCTGGTACTTGTTTCCCATTGGCTCCATAAAGTCAACCTTAGTTCCTAAAAGCATAATGTCATTTCTGATTAAATGAGCATTATTCTCAAATATGATATTCCAGGAAAAGCCTTGGGTTTCTAACCAATGTTTCCAATTACATCCTCCACTGCCTTCATGTTGAAACTGTCTTCTTAGGGTACATAATTTTAAAAGATATTCACTTGCACAACCTAAGAGTAAGTGCCTTGGCGTTAAGTTTGGCACCTTAGGTCCCTTTGTTGTTTCACCCTAGTCCTGACCCAGAGGCAAGACAGAAAAGAAAGCTGAATTCTTCAGTGGAGGAAGTTTCTCTGGGTAGAAAATGTGAGGAGAATAAATATAGAAGAGATAGATAGAGTGGGCCATTGAATTATGAGTAATAGGAGTGAGCCCAGTTTTACCTAAAGGGACAGGAGATCCAAAACTTTTTCAAGCTGGTGAAGGGTTGGCAGGGAGCTAATTTTATATGTAATAATCAGAAGTTGTCATAGGAACATGCAAATAATATGTGTGATTGTCAGATTGGCAAGTAGGAGAGATGATTGTGGAAGACCTTTAGATGGAGAAAGTAGGGGGAAGGGGCTCTGGTGGTACGGCCAAAGCCAAAAGAAGAGACTTGTAGTAATGGAGGGACAAGGACAGTATATAGGAAGACAACAATTGGAAGAGTAGAGACAGACAGAATGTCAACATAAACCTTTGAGAAACAGAGACAAAGGGGAGGAAGTGAAGGAAACAGCAGACAGAAGCTAAACTGACAACTCTAAAGAGGGACAGTGACAAAAATTACATGAAGAAAGAAACATTGGGGGCAAAGTAAATACCAAGAAAAGAGAAAGTGAGGGAGAGGCACAAAGAAATCATGAAGACAGAGTGTTAAGTGAGGGTGAATGAAAAAGTGGAGAGGGCAATGTGATGAAGGAGAGAGGAGACATTGAAATATTTAAAATTTGAGGGAGAGTCACTGGGCAAGCTGCTGATACAGGAGGTTGTCCTCTTTAACTGTGAGTTTTCAGGGCAAAGTGTCCCCATTTTTCAAAGTGACATTTGTAATCTGTTCAGATTAAATAAACCGCCCTCCAAACCGCTATGTCTTCTGTCAACATTTATAGCCATGACACCCAGTCCATATGGCCAGATGATCTGTCTTCTCAGCTTATTCATCTAAGTGCCTGAAGGACATCTCACTGGGATATCCTTCAGGAACCTCAGATTTAATGCTTCCAAAATGGATCTCATCATCTTCTTCTATGAAACCAGATCCTCTTCTTCCTCTTCCTTTGCCACTCCTCCCTCCCCCCTCTTTTTGTTAATTCTCATATGAGGGTACTTTTGCATTTATCTTTTAGAGAGATTGGAAGAGAGAGGGAAAGACAAAGAGAAACATTGATGTGAGATAAACACATCAATTGGTTGCTTCCTGCATGCTGGGACCAAGGCCCAGGGCGAGGAGGAACCTGCAACCAAGGTACGTGCCCTTGACTGGAATCAAACCCAGGACCCTTTGATCCGCAGGCCGAGGCTCTATCCACTGAGTCAAACCAGCTAAGACCACTTCCCTTTTTAGTAACAGCGTCATTCCTGTCCAGTTTTCTTAAGCAAGAAACTCAGGTGTACTCCCGAGTCCTCCTCTCCCTTAACCCTCATACCCCATCAGTCACCCAGCCCTGACACTTGACCTTGGCAGTATTTTCAAACTGACCATTTCTCCATCGCAAATGCCATGATGCTAATCAGATCTCTGAAATCTTTCTTTTGACCATCAGCTGATGAAGGTGACAGAAGTGTGGGTGTGTTCATGCTGTTGTCTTATCTAAACTCCAATGATAGTCAGGACACTTGAGATTAAGTCACTCTCCTTCCAAGCCACAGGCCATAGGATTCTCTCCCATTTCTTTAGCCTCTGTTCTCTCACTCCAAGTCTTAGTCATGCTAACTTCCTTTATTTACTTGAATTGCCTTTGCCCGTGCTCTGTCCTCTATTTAGGTCTATTTCCCTTCTCACTCCCTCCCTAAACTGGCAACCTCCTGGTTATATGACACTTTCTTCAAAAGCCATTTTCTGTTTCTAGGATGGGATTCATTCCTCTGTCTGTATGTTCTCAGAGCACTTTGTACTGGCTGTGCGATGACACTCACACTTCATCGTGATAATGCAGTTAGTTTGTGGCATCCATTGTAGACTGTGATTTTGAGCCAGGGACCTCATCTGTCTTGTACTTGCTGTGTCCCTGACCTGAGCATGGTGACTTGCACATAATAAGAGCTCAATTAAGTCCAGCCAGTGTGGCTCAGTGTTATGTCTTTTTTTATAAATATATTTTATTGATTTTTTGCAGAGAGGAAAAGAGAGGGCTAGAGAGTTAGAAACATCGCTGAGAGAGAAACATCAATCAGCTGCCTCTTGCACACCCCCTACTGGGGATGTGCCTGTAACCTAGGTACATGCCCTTGACTGGAATTGAACCTGGGACCCTTCAGTCTGCAGGCTGATGCTCTATCCACTAGGCCAAACCCATTAGGGCAGTGTTATGTCTTGACCTATGAACCAGGAGGTCATGGTTCAATTCCCATTAGAGCACATGCCTGGGTTGCAGGCTCGATCCCCAGTAGGAGGTGTGCAGGAGACTGCCAATCAATGGTTCTCTCTTATCATTGATGTTTCTATCTCTCTCTCTCCCTCTCCCTTCCTCTCTTAAATCAATAAAAATAATTAAAAAAAATGCTCAATTAACATTTTTCAGGAAAGGAAAGTCCTCATATTTCTGTGCTCTAAAGGGGATCACATGTTTTGACAAACATTACATTACTGTTATATTTATAGGAAAACGTTACAAAATAGTCTCAAAATTACATTTATATATGCGTGTAGCAAGCTACCTTTGTGGAAAAGAACCTAACTTATGAAAAACACAAATTCAGCCAAGATTATTATCAGGTAGTGAGTGAGAATAGCAGGTAAAGGGAAAAGAGAAAAACCAAAAGGTAGATTCAAGGTAAAAAGAAAAGCACTTGAGAATTGGAGAGAGAAAGACACATACAAAGGTAGGCAGTAGGTGAGAAGGTGAGATTCCTCATGAGAGTGAGCCTCTCAAGGGACACGGGGAGAGAGGGAAGAAAGGGAGCCACGAGGCTCTTTGAGGGGGACAGAGGAAGATTCTTCCTGAATCCTTACTTATTTTAGGGGCAGAGCTATCCACACATGAAAGTCCAGTGCAATCTTGTGCTGTGGGTCTGATGGGTATGCAGAAGGCAATTTGTCCCCTCGAGATGAACGAAGGAGGCCAGCAAGCAAGGCCAGCACGTGACCAAGCACCGGAAATAATGGGTAAGGCTGGCCAAGGGAGTCTGGCAGGTGATGGCACTGTGTATGTCCCAGAGGAGGGGACAGGAGGAGGCCGAGGGAGCACGGGGGTGGAGCGTGGTGAGGTGGTGGTGGTGCAAGAGAGGGAGACTCTGGTGCTTAGTGCAGGGAGCTTCTAACATGTGAGAGGATTCCCTGGGAAGACAGACCATCTGGTGCAGGGACATTCCTATCTAGAAGTTCTGCAAGCTGCTGGGTCTCTCCTGGAGTCCCTTTGTTATGGGGTTTTCTGCTGCCTCATGGGCCCCACATTGAGACTCCTTAGGGTTTTTTTTTTCCTTTGCACAGTGATCAGCAGTGAATCCAATGGGCAGGAAGTGCCTCCGGAAGCCCAGAGATCAGCACCAAGATGTGGACCTGGTGAGGAGTGTGAGGATGGCCAGCCTCAGCCTGCAGAGCACCTGGCATCTGAATTCAGAGCTCCTGTTTCTTGACGTGTTTTACTTTAAAAAAATAATAGTTTTTAAAATTGATTTCAGAGAGAAGAAGAGAGAGAGTATCATCAGTGAGGGAGAAACATCAATCGGCTGCCTCCTGCACATCCCCTACTGGAAATTGAGCCCATAATCCAGGCATGTGCTCTGACTGGGAATTGAACCAGCGACCTCCTGGTGCGTGGATTGACCCTCAACCACCTGAGCCACACCAGCTGGGCTTGATACATTTTACTTTGAGTGCACTCCACAGACCATGGTTCACTTAATCCTGGGAACCCATTCTTGGGAAATGTGGGAGGCAAGGCTGTATTTATTGCACATGGGTTCATATGTTGACATGAGAATAGAAACAAGATAGCATGCCTATAATAAAAAATATGTATTTGGCCTTTGTCTCTAGTTCCTGGCACAAAGCTCCCCCAAACTGAAAGTTCACTCCTGCAAGTGTTCTCTGTTGTTTTCAGTACCAAATAAGTCAGGACTTGCTAGCTTGTGTGGTGACAATAACCAATTTTAAGTTCCACTGGCTTACACAAATAAGTTCACTTCTTGCTTACTCAAAGCCCACAGTGCATCTGGGAGCCCCTCCGAGGTGGCAGTAAGTACATGTACTAGGCTGTTTCAGTCTTTGGGCTCTGTCCTCTCAAAACCAGGCTTCCATAATCAACGTGGTAGGAGAGAGGGTGCATGGAGAATTCTCACTGCTCTCCTATGAATTAGTTTGCAAATGACACATGCCACCTCTGATCATAGTCCATTGGTAAGGGTATTAGTCAGTCCTAATGCAAGGAAATGGAAAAATTTGGAGGACATATGCAGTATTTGGTGAACACTACTATCTCTGCTACAAATGGAAAATGATAGACTGGAAAAACCACCAATTCTAGATAATGATGCATCATTGAATCCCCCAACCCAACAAAGCACACAAAAAGAAGTTAAAAGGGGAAAAAAACCCCAGTCAGAATTTAGACTGTAAACCTAAGTAAAAAATATAACTTTTTAAAGAGCTAAAGTATTGAAAATAGAATATGCTACAAGAAAGAGCTTCAAGGATAAAATATTTTGCTTGGTGTGTGATGGAATTTATCCGTTTTTCTAAATAACTGTAGTCCCAGAAAGAAAGTTTATTCTCTGGCAGGAACTCTGAACATTTTACCTATTTAGGTGACCTCCTTTTACAGTTATGACATCAGTAAAGGGAGACAGAGCTGTAGACACATTTATTTTTGAATCATCCCTAAATTATTCCATCAATTGTAAGAAATGTTTTTTGATTAAATCGACCATGAGATAGAAATTGCATTTAACACCTAACCTGTTCTGCTAGGTCATGATGGCATTTCAGGCCTCTAGAATTAGCTGAGGATTCTTGTTCAATAATCCTTTAAGGATATGGGTATTTCCTTTTTCCATTAACTTGGAAAATAGACATTGTTCTCTTTGGGAATGGCTAGAAAATGTGTCAATCTTGGTTTTTATGGCCTCCATTTGTTTCCATTTCCATCAACTAGCTGAATGGACAATGAGAACTGCTGCCTTTTGCTTGAGTTAACATTTTGAATACAGAATCCCTACTGTGTGTAGCCACGATGACACATTCATGTGTTTCAGACATGATTTTGAACATTTGACATTTATAAATTCATTTAATCTTCAACATTTTCTATTCCAATAACAAAATCTTATTATTGAATGGTGACTTGGTGCATTGGAGCCAGCTGGAGACAATAATTCCTGAGGCTGAGGTACTTTCCTGAATGGTATAATGCAGTGGTTCTCAACCTTCTGGCCCTTTAAATACAGTTCCTCATGTTGTGACCCAACCATAAAATTATTTTCGTTGCTACTTCATAACTATAATGTTGCTGTTATGAGTCATAATGTAAATATCTGATATGCAGGATGGTCTTAGGTGACCCCTGTGATAGGGTCGTTCAACCCCCAAAGGGGTCTCGACCCACAGGTTGAGAACCGCTGGTGTAGTGTATACTCTGAACCAGCTATCAATATGTGGTATTCTTTTTCCTATAACCGGAATATTTTGGGTCTGAGAACCTGTCAAGCAAAGCTAAATGATTTGACTGGTAAAGAAATGATGCACTCTTTTACTATTCAGACAGTTTGATACTTACATAGACAACAAAAGCAAAAAAAAAAGCAAAGGTACCAGCTTCCCATGTCCTCTGTACCATAGGATTGTACCCAAACAAAGGGATTGTGGATGCCTTATGGTGTGACATGAGTGATGGTCCACATTCATGTTGCAGCCAGTAGTTGTATAGCCTACAGCTGTGCCCTAAATAACGTGTCAGAAGGCTTCAGACCTCATCAGAACTTGGAATGAAAGGAGAGAGTCATGATAGCGTCTGGAAGATAAGGCGATGAATGGAAAATGGCTTTGTAGCAGCTCCTCACAAGTCTCCCATGCTCTCATGTTTTGGAAAAACCACCGGGCATTCTTCCAAGGCCTAAATCAGATCAGTTGCATTTAAGTCTTGCATATGTGTGCCGTGTGGAGACATGCAAGGTCACCAGGATGTCATGGCAGAGCCATTCCCCAACAGAACCAAGAACCGTCAGAGGGTTTAGTGCGTGAGGAATGCTTTTATCAGCTGTACCAATTAGGATTCTGACCCTATGAATTAAATGTTGAAAACAGTATGCTATGCTATGTGCTTCCTGATGCCATGGGGTAAAAGGCAAAAAAGTACTCAGAATGGTAATCAGTAACCAAACTATATAAATAACACTGGCTTTACCAAAATATATAAATAACAGTAGTTTTCTATAACAGGCAACAATAAGTAAGAAACTATAATAGGAAAAATGTCACTTTCATAATAACAAGAAATAGTATAAAATACCTGACAGTAAAAAGAAAAAGCAAGAAATGAATAAGTTCTATGTGGGGAGGAGGAGAGGAGAGAAAACTTTATTAACAACATAATAATTTAAATAAATGGAAGCACATGATATGATTCTTTATAGAAAGACTCAATATTTTTATTGTAAATTTCACTCCAATTTATTTAATAAGAGATCTGGACAAAACAATTTTACACTTTCTATTTAGAAAAATAAATGAGCTGAAATAATGACAAAATAAGTTTGAAAAAAGAAGTGTGATGTGATTGTTTTTGCATATCATTAGACAGAATGGTCAGCGGGACCACGGACACTTGGCCATGTACTGCTGGAGGCTCTGAAGCGGGAAACAGAAATGGACAAAAATCACAAAGTAATGGGCTCGGACTGAGAACTCTTCTTGCTGATTTACTGAATTCCAAAAATGTCTTTGAAGTTTTTCTCAAATTTGGCCTCTATTTGAATTCCCAGCATGATGAATTTCTGGCCCTGAAAAAACCAAGAGAAAAACAATATTAGCCATTGCCAATTACCCAAAGTTTCAGGTAATCAAGATCTTCATTTTAGGCCACCCTCAAATGTTAAGTGAGACTTCATCCAGTTAGGAATAGCTAATGTTCCCTGATAGCTTGATCACTTCTCTTTACCTGGAAGACAGAGAAGCAAAAATAGTACTATCTTGCAGCCTAATTCTTCACCAAAAATTGATTGATTTAATTTGACAAAATAGAAGTTATTTGAGTTTTGAGCACAGCACATATTATTTGCAACAATATAGTAGTATGGAAATGTCTACAGTAAATTCATTGTGCCTTCCTCTCCCTTCATTCTCACCCCTTGAGGCAATCCTTGTTAATGTGTGTGTGTGTGTGTGTGTGTGTGTGTGTGTGTGTGTTAATCCTCACCCGAGGTTATTTTTCCACTCGAGGATATTTTTCCGTTGATTTTTGTTGTAGGTTTTTGGGAGAGTGGAAGCGAGAGGGAAAGACAGAGAAACATAGATGTGAGAGAAACACATTGATTGGTTGCCTCCTTCAAGGGCCCTGACCAGAGCCTTAGGCCAGGGAGGAGCCTGCAACCGAGGTACTTGCTCTTGACTGGAATTGAACCTTGGACCACAGGCTGACGCTGTATTCACTGAGCCAAGCCGGCTAGGCCACAGTGGTCGGCAAACTCATTAGTCAACAAAGCCAAATATCAACAGTACAACGATTGAAATTTCTTTTGAGAGCCAAATTTTTTAAACTTAAACTTAGGTAGGTACATTGTTATTAACTTAATTAGGGTACTCCTAAGGCTTAGGAAGAGCCACACTCAAGGGGCCAAAGAGCTGCATGTGGCTCAGGAGCCGCAGTTTGCCGACCATGGTCTAGGGCCTTGTTAACTTTTTGACACAGCACTACGGGATTTGTATGTAAAGAAATCCAAGACTTTGAAATTTGAGAAATTTGATTTGGTATCTTCCTTTAGAGAAGAGAAACACTGGTTGCCTTTAAAAAGCACTTCTGTTTTTTGTGGAAGGGACTAGATCAGCAGTCTACTGTTCTCTGGGAGAAAATCGGCTATCTAGCAGTGAGCAGACTCTGAGATCCTAGGACAGTGTTTGCAATGATACCTCTGGTTGATGATTATATTTTCACCTCTGTAGACCACAGGGCTTTTAGAATCCTTCCAGAGTTTTTACTTGTGTGTGCTTGCTGCATGATGAGGAAAGTTGTAACATTTACCTGATATGAGAAGAGGAAAGGCAAAGTGACTTAATCGAAAGAAAAAGGGATGCAGGGACAGCCACGTACCTCATAAATTTTCCTGTGGTTCTGAAAGATGAGGCGCATGTCCTGCACAAAATCCTTCACTTGGAGGTACAACTTAGAAGCCAGTGTTTCTTTGATTTTGTTTAACCACACGCACTTTGTCAGGCTCTGAGATCGCTTTTTACTCTGTGGATGAAAGTGCCAAAGGGCAGGCTATTGGCATGGTTCCAAGTCTACTTTCTAGAGACTCTCACTGCTATGACTATGTATGTCCCTCCCCCCACAAACTCAGATGTTGAAATTCTAACTCCCAATGTGGTGGTCTTAGGAGACGGGGCCTTTGGGAGATAATTAGGTCAGGAGGGTGGAGTGCTCATGAATGGGATTAATGCCCTTTGTAAGAGGACCCCAGAGAGCTCTCTCCCTGTTTCTACCATGTGAGGACACAACATGAAGTTGTCAGTCTGCAACCTGGAAGAGGGCTCTCGTCAGAATCTGACCATACTGGTACTCAGATCTTGGACTTGCGGCCTCCAGAACTGTGAGAAACACATTTCTGTGGTTGAAGCCACCCAGTCTGTGGTACTTTGTTATAGCAGCCTAAGCTGCTAGGGGCTGACTAAGCTGACTGAGACATCCATCAACAAGGCAATGATAATGGCAACTTGTACCTATTGCATTCATACCACAAATTTGACAAATGCCAGTTTGGGGCTTTGTTGCTATTACTTACATAATATGGTTTTTGGATAAAAAAGGAGCTTTTTGACCAGTGACAGACCTTCAAGAGGAGGAACTCACATTTCTGCAAAAGATAGAGGAGATCTTAAGTGAAAAGCAGCTTGGAGAGAATGAACTGCCCTGCATGTTCAGGCAGAATGCACAACGCCCAAACCTGTGGACTCTGAAACAAACACAGAACGGGGATCTCCTTTGGATACAAATTTTGGTGTTAGATGTGATCAAAGCACAGAGAAAGAAGCACAGATGCTTGCCTCTGGGCAGCATTCCTCCAGCCCCTGCAAGACTGCTTCTTCTCTCAACTGAACAGAAAGGAGGAGGCTTCAGCTTCCCCTTGCAACTTACCAAGTGCTCCTCATGCAGCATCTTCCTTTCTAGGATCTCCGATTCCTGATGACATGGTTGACGTTCTGGACACATTTTCTGAATAAACTTTATCTCGCAGAAGATGCAATTCCATGGGACCCTGAGAGGCAGGACGTGAAGTGAGCAGGGGCGGGTTCTCTGTGAAACAGCCATTGTTCCTGCAGCTGTTGAAGTCCTCAAAAGGACTATCGGTTACCAACTTGAAGCCAACTTTTCTCTTGAAAACCCCTCCGCACTAGAGTCCCATTTAGACTCAATTACCAAAGACACCCCTCCCATAAGTAGTCCGTTGAGTTAGGTGCCATAGTGGGTGATGGACTCTCATTCACCTCAACACTTAGGGTTCCCAATTGAGCCACTGTGAGTATGGTAACGATCCCTGTCTGCCACCGTTGTGTATTGGCAACCAGTACCATCAAGACCAAAGTATTGGGCCTTGATGAACCATCAGGCCAGAAGAAAAGTCAGAAACCAGCTCTTGTCTCCCAACTTTGCTGAATAAGCACAGAGCACAAGCCATGGGCATCCTCCCCTCTGGCATTGCCATATCTATACCTAGAATCTGTGCTGCAGAGACTTCTTGGAAAGGAACCCTACCAACAGAGTGTCAGATATTCTATTTGCCTTGAGAGCCCTCTCTCCCAGGTTCTCTGTGCTGGGAGGCTCTCCACAATCAGGTGGATACAATGATTCATCTTAGAGATATCATTTAGCTTCTCCCCGGGACCACTTCAGTCCTTTCTCAGACACCCATTACAAATTAAGATGTACAAATTGTCAGTTATAAAAACAGTCATGGGCATGTAAAGTATAGCATAGGGAAAATAGTAACATTATGTTAACTATGTATGGTGTCAGATGGGTACTAGACTTATTTAGGACATCAACAGGTAAATTATATAAATGTCTATTGACTATGTTATACACCTGAAATGAATAATATAATGTTGCATGTCAATTGTAATTGAAAAAAAAGAGGCCCATTACACAGTGTCCATGGTTCAGGGATGGGGACTATCTGTGGGTTCAACAAAAAAGTGGACTGTCTTCTGCCTCTGCAGATTGCCTGACCGACTAGAGAGGTTTATGCCAAATCCCTGAGGTGGCACCACTGCCTGGGAGCTACCTGAGAGCAGCTGGGTTACGTTAGATTCCTCCCATTATGGAGGGCAATGCTTTGTCCTCATGGGGATACACACATTCCTGGTAGCCATCCTCTGCCCACACCACCACTTATAGATGCCTTACCAATCTCGATGTTAGCCTGCATACCATCACCTCTGACCAAGGATACATTTTACAGCCAAGGAAATGTAGCAGTGGACTCATCCTCAGAATTCATGAGTCTTATTATGGACCCTGTCACGCAGTGTCAGCTGATTTGGTGGACTGTGGGAATGGCCTTTAGAGGACTCACCACAGCCCCAGCTTTGCCAGCTTTGAGATGTTCCCAAGGCAGGTGGTATATGCTTCCAACTGGCAGCTAATGCACGGTGTCACCATCCCATCAAAGTGTATGGTTAGGGAACAAAGCAGAGGAGGTGGTGGTGACACCTCTTTCTATTCACCTTAAAAACCACTTGAGGCATTTTCACTTCCCATGAATCTACTGCTGCCAGCACAGTTAAATAGCTCTGGACCATAATTCTGGATCCTGATACTTAAGGGCCCTGCTCCCTCTGCATCAAGACACATACACCCAGATAAACTTTGCAGGCTGAGTGTGCATGGTGGGAAGAGCTCTACCACAAGAAGGAAGGGCAAGAGGGGACCAAGTGTCACTAACCTGCTAGGATCAATATGACGGATGTGGCATGTCTCATGAAAGGATCTTGGACACGTATCACAGCAAAATAGCGTTCCTCCTTTATGGCACATCTCACATATATTTGAGTTTTCTGGCTAGAAACGGAGATAATGTAGAAATCACTGGGATCAGTGAGATTCCAGAAGGACAGTGAGATTTCATTGGACTCAAGAACACACAGATTTTGCTTGTACCAAGGTGAAACTTGTAATATTAAAGAATAACACTGAGCAGAGATGTTTATTTATGTATTATTATTTTTTTATTGTCTAAAGTTTTACATATGTCTCCTTTTCCCCCAATCAACTCCCCCCCCGGGCTCCGCCCCCAAACC